AATATCCTAAAACTTAATTAAAATACTAAAAACTATTTAAACTAAAATACAAAGATAAAATATAATGTTTAAAATATTATCCTAAACTTGAGCTTAATTCAAATCCGAATTCCAGCAAGCTTTGATTCCGAAAATAAAAAAAATGCAGAATTCTGTCATTTTTGTGCAATTTCCAAAATCTGACTTCCTGCACAGAAAATGAATCAAAACGAACAATTAAGCCACAAAAACCAATGATTAAAGAGTAATTTAAAAGCAAAATATTAACTAAATTAAGCCCTTATCAGGTTGTCTCACTAAGTGTATACTTAGCGTGTGATGATTTTCACGCGTAGGAAAAAGGAAGAAGAGGAGTAAGGAGCTGAGTTTGGCATCAATCACCAAGGAAATATTTATAAGTAACAATGATGATATCCCATTGTGTTCTAAAAGTCTTAGCTGGCATGTATACGATAATGAAATGGTTGAAATTTCTTAATATAGTTAGTATTAAATATAATTAATAATATGAATAAATATTATGATATTAAACAATGCTTTAAAAAAATTAAATTAATTTGGGTTTTAAATCAAACTTGGTGGACAATCGTATTTTTTTATGAAACAAAATAGAATTGTCTATCATTGCTTGAATCTAGTGATGATTGAATGAAACAAAATATTTTACTCAGTTCGCTTAAAGAAACGTTTTGAATCTTTGATGTGACATCTGTAACTCGTATTGGTTCGTATATACGGGTTATGGGTGTTACAAGATAAATATATTATTTTATGTTTTTACTCAATTAATTAGATAATTTAAATTGTTAAACATAAAGATTTTAAATGAAACAAAAATGTTAAAGTTTTATGTACAAAGAAAGTTTAATAATGTTAATGTGACATTTTTTAACTCATATTTCGAGACATATAAGAGTTATGGGTGTTACACAATATCTTATAGTCATGTACCATTTATATACTTCATCCTTAAAAAATAGTTTAATACCAAAATAACTGCTCAAACTATTCCCAAAATCTCAAATAGGTGCCTAAACAATTTTTTGACTTATCTCGGTGCCTAACATTATAAACATTACCCATTTAGGTGCCCAGGCCGTCAACGACTTTAATTTTCCCGTTAAGTAACACGTGTCATAATATAGTAATTTTAGAAATTTATTTTAAAAAATAAATTTAAAAATAATTTATTTTTGAGAAAGCCCCAATTTTTTCAAAAATATAAAAAAGGCCATCAAATTCTTAAGATTTCTTATTCTAGACCCATTTACTTTGACCGCCAGTCATCTCCGGCAACACATACGTCGTCAACCACCCAATGATCAATTACAACTCTTACTATCATCTCAAAACCTAAAATTCTCAAATCCCTAAATTTAAATTTCTAATCTCTAAAATTTCAAACACTCGATCCTTCAAATTTGATCGTGATAATCAACCGTTTCGCCGACCGTGGTAGTTGGCCATTTGGTCGTTCGTTTAATTGGTCGTTTAGCCTTTGTTGATAGAAGGATGGAGAAGGGAAGGGGAACAGGGGAGGGAAAAGGGGGCACACAGGGAAGAAAGGCCGTTGGATATTGGTTTTTTTTAAAATAATATTTTTATTTTTAAAAAAATTAAAAATTATGAGATTATGACACATATCACTTAACGGAGTTTTATAACGACCGTTACTACCGAGGCACCTAAAAAAATAATGTTTGTAATGTTAGGCACCGAGATGGATGAAAAAAAAATAGTTTAGGCACTTATTTTAGTATTAAGCTTTAAAAAATAAAACTTTTAAAAATAATATTGTAAAAAGAATCAGGATAACTTATTTATAAAATAGATATGGAAATAAAAAGTAGAAAAAATGTTTATATTTATGTGGTAAACAAAAGATTCATTGAAATGTCCTTTGCTTCCGGTATACCCTAACAAGGTTATTCCTTTAACTTCGATATATATTAAATTTAATCATGATTTCACCATATTTCAATTCCACAATCCCTAATACATTTCATAAAAAGTGATGCTTACATTCGATAAAATTTAAACACCAGATTTAACTGAATAGTACAAATTAACAAAGACTAATACTATAAGCATCTTCCTTTATACTTTAGCACTTTTTTTTCACTTTGAGTTATTATATATATATCATGTGTTTCACGCCTTGCCTTTCCCTTTTTATTTTATTTACATTTGCTTCCTAATCATATACTTTAGTACTTTTTTTTACTTTGATTTATCCTATATTTTTAGCACTTATGTAGGATTATTGAATAAATATATTTTGATAATATAGATAAAAAAATAAAAATAATGATTTTTTATGAAAAAAAGAAATAAATTTATAAAGCTTATTTTACTTTTGCACTATATATATTGATTGATTTTGTTTTGTGTGACGAGGACAACAGACAAGTATCTGTAAAGCTAAAGGTTATTTCCCTTCTTTATTTTTGTGGAGCCAAACTACAAAAACGTAAAGTGCTTCATGACTCATGACAATTATAAATTCTTATAAATATTTCATTGTAATTAAATATTTTTTAACTGCAAAAAAATAATTATCAATTTTATTCTAGTTCTTCAATAATTTAATTATGCATATATTGAATAAATTTACTTATTTATTTTATAATAGTGAAATAATAATATTTAAATATGCGAGATTATGACACATGCACAAACACAAAAACTTTATTATATTATTACCTACTTCTTGAGTTCTTTTTATTTATTTATTTATTATATTTCATTCACATTATTTTATTTTTTGATTCTTGAAACATAAATTTATCTTAGATTATCTAATATAGAGTTTAAATAATTTAAATAAATATAAGTTAATTAATTAAAATTTCCTTAGTTAATTGATTTATCCCAGCTCCTGTATAAAGTGGGACTGGCTGGCCAGTCCATATTCCATGCAGAGTCGCAAAGTGAGCGGCCGTAGGGGATAAACAAAACCGGAAAAAATGGGGTTTCACCAGTTATGTCTGGCGTCGGTGATAATGATGATAATTCTCCTGAAACCGATTGCCGTCGGAGACGCCTCCCTACTATGGAAGAGCAACGCCACTTACGGTTGCAATGGCCTCCTAAAAAACTGCCGGATCACCGAAGAATTGGAGTGGGAGATGGATTTCTCGATGACGGAGTCTAACGTTAACAGAATCCTCCAGCAGGGTAACGTCCACCCTGTAACTCCCAACGCGCTTGACGGCAAACATTCTATAGTGCAAAAGCCTTGCCATCCGTATACCAAGTGTCTCACCGGGAGCAACGGCAAGGGCGGTGAACACAAGGGAAAACCGCCTCCATGTAGAGACATTTATGATTGTAAAGGTCAACTAGCCCATGAATCTTAATGGTTGATTTCAACTCCGTTTCCCAGCTTTGTACATCACCTTGTCTCTTTGGTATTCACTAGTATCCTTCTGTTTCTATGTATAATGATATCTCTGCTTCTAATTCTAGATATGTATCTCTCTTATTTCCTTTAAGTTATCCATGGACAGTCATGTACTATTTATTAGATCTAAATCATTAGAGTCCATCATCAAGAATAACAAGAATGTGTGATTTTTCTTGAAAATGATTTCATGGATTTTTTGTTGATTTGGGTTTATATTTTCCCTTACAACACATTTTATCAAATTTCTGAATAATCCTCTTAGTTAGTTCGACTTTTTTGTTTATTTGTATAATATAAAAAATAATTATTAAAATTCTTATATTGACTGAATTGTCTTCCCCTTGCATTGCATCATATGGCATACGTACTGTGAAAACAATGATACACACGACAACCAATAACCATGCATAAACAAAGAATAATAATACTTTATCTTTTACTACAGTAAATACGTAAAACTTAATAAGCAAATAAAATTGTCCTTTCTGTTTGATTTTATTTTTATAATTTTCAAAATAAAAATAGGCTTATGGGAAATTAAAATTTGATATTGTCATTAAAAAACTAAATTGATAAAATATTGTTTTCGACAATTTCATTTAATATTAATTTTTTTTATCAATAAAATTTTAAAATATTAAAATTAGCTTAACAACAATAAATTGTTTGTAGTTTTGATCTGCTAAATGCTAATCAACGAATCTGTCAATCAATAAAGCGAAAGCAATAAAAGTATGACTCGAGGTTGTTCATCAAAGCCACTCGCTTTTTGTTACTGTATTCTTTTAATAAAATTCTTTCAAGATAATATATTTAGTGATAATTGGGACCATGTTAGCCACCCTTTATCAAAAGGTGTCATTTGACACCCCGTTTTTCTAGATTTTCTTTTAAATTTCATATAAAAATATTAAAAATAAAATTAATACTATAATTTCACTTTGAAAATATTGGAATCCTTTCAAGAAATATTGATATTTTATAATTAATATTTTCTCTTTTAATTTTTTAATAAATTTTTTCAATAATTGAAAATTTTGATTTTATATAAAAAAGATTTGAAGCAGCAGATGTATAAACAAGTTGGAAAGGAGATGTCTTCCACTAAACATTGGGTCCTAGTAGTCAACTCATTTGTTGAAACATTTTTCTTTTTTGTTGATTGTCTCGTTCCAAGTTAGTCCTCATTAATCTAGATCGATATGAGTCTTACATTTAATTTTAGTGGGTGAGTCCTAACGAGATTTTCTGTATATACAGGACTTAAATCTGAAATATTACTTAAACGATGAATAATGTTTCATAAACTAGTTTAAGTTTTAACATAAGTTGGCAGTTGGAGCTGGTTTAAAGACCCACTTCCCTGGGGTTAAGCTGGATTGTTTTGAACCTTGGAATACAAATTTTGACTTCTAACAGCAAAGTCAATTTTAATTGAATTAATTAACAGTAATTTCTTACCAAACCAAGTTGTTCACATTGGATCAATCTTTTTTTGAGTAAATTTCTTCAATTCACACGGATGCTACAGTTCACCTTTTTTCTTATATATTCCAAAAACTCTAGACCGGCTTTTAGTCGAAGAAACAGAAATTATAATCCCATTCCATTAAAATATATTTACATAGACGAATAAGTCAGTTTTCACTTACTTCCATGGAGAAATTCTCTGTAATAATTCTCATCACCATCCTTCACTTGGTCATTTTTGTTGCATCGGAGCAGACTGTTCCAACAGATAACATAACCCTGAATTGTGGAGCTCCTACAGACTTATATGCTTCGGATGGCAGATTTTGGGGAGGAGACAATAACTCCAAATTTGGACCTTTCGAATCATCTTCCCACAACAAATCGAAAACCTACGGAGCTGATAATCAAGGGGGCTCTGTCGAAACTGTGCCACATATGACCGCCCGAGTCTCCGGTTCCGAATTCAATTACACTTTCCATGTTACTCCAGGCCAGAAGTTTGTTCGTCTCTACTTTCATCCGGCTTCGTATGGAGAATATGACAAATCCAAGGCCTTTTTCACTGTCAGAGCTGGTTCTTTCACTTTGCTGAGGAATTTCAGTGCTTTCCTTGTTGCTGAATCACTGAATGTTAGAACACTTTTGAGAGAATTCTGTTTGAACGTGGGAGATAATGAGGTGTTGAACCTTGTTTTCACTCCATCCCCTAGTGCTTCAAATGACACTTACGCTTTCATCAATGGAGTCGAGATCGTCTCGATGCCTACGAATCTTTACTACAGGCCACCTGATCAGTTATCGTCCGGTGTCCCTTTCGTCGGCCAGAGATATGAGGTCACTATCGAGAACGATACCGCACTTGAGAAGGCATATAGGTTGAATGTTGGTGGCGAAACCATTTCGCCCACGGAAGATACTGGCCTTTTCAGGCTTTGGTCCGATGACTCCGATAAGATGACAACCGATAGCTATTTCACTATCAACACTACAGTTCCAATCAACTACACGATCCCAAGATACACGGCGCCGGAGAAGGTTTATCGGACTGCACGGTCTATGGGACCTAATCGTACATACAACGAGCGGCATAACTTATCATGGAGATTGCCTGTGGATTCGGGATTCAGGTACATGGTAAGGCTTCATTTTTGTGAAGTACAAGATCCGGTGAACTTAATAGCCGATCGTATGTTTGAGATCTTCATAAACAATCAGATAGCTGAGGCACATGCTGACGTGATTTTATGGACTGGCGGCTATGGCAAAGTTCCGATTTATAAAGATTATATTGTGTTGGCATCCAGGGTGGGAAACAAGAATAGGCAGAACATGACCATAGATCTGCACCCTATCGTTGCGTTTTATGTTGACGTTATACTAAATGGGATAGAAGTGTTCAAACTGAGCAACTCTGATGGCAATTTAGGCGGAGTGAACCCTGAACTACTGGTGGCTCCACCACGATCAACGTCTTCGGATTCGTCCAATTCTAGAGGTGGAAGATCCAAGAAGGGAAGCCTGCTAATTGCTGGTGTGGGATGTGCTCTTGGTTTGATCACCCTACTCTCTTTATTGGCTTGCACGGTTGCTTGGAGACAAAGGAAGGGAAAAAATTGGCTTTTCTGGTCGATGAATCAAAAGGAAGCAAAATCCACAATGACCTCATCGTTACCAGATGAATTATGCTGCCATTTTTCACTGGATGAGATGAAAGCTGCTACCAACAACTTCCATGATGATTTAGTAGTTGGGCAAGGTGGATTTGGGAAAGTATACAAAGGTTTCATGGATGCAGGTGAAAGAATAGTTGCAATCAAGCGCCTGAACCCTGAATCAAGACAAGGTGTTCGAGCAATCAAGCGCCTGAACCCTGAATCAACACAAGGTGTTCGAGAGTTCATGACGGAGATCGAGATGTTGACTCCGCTCCGACATGCTCATTTGGTGTCCTTAATTGGATACTGCAATGAGAACGGTGAAATGATTCTCGTGTACGATTTTATGAGAAACGGCACCCTCTCGGATCATCTTTACGGCACAAGCTTTGCCTCTGATCCTCTGACATGGAAGCAAAGGCTGGAGATTTGCAAGGGAGCTGCAAGTGGATTGAACTACCTTCATACAGAAGTGAAGCATACTATTATTCATCGTGATGTGAAGACGAGCAACATTCTCCTAGATGATAAGTTCACTGCCAAAGTTTCGGACTTCGGGTTATCGAAAACCGACCCCAAAGTCGATACACTCATAACCGGAATAAAGGGCACTCGAGGATACTTGGATCCAGAGTATGCTCGGGGTCATACATTAACAGAAAAATCAGACGTATATGCATTTGGCGTGGTGTTATTCGAAGTATTATGTGCAAGAAAAGCTCTGGATACGAAATTGGCAGGGGATAAAATGAACCTGGCACATTGGGCCAAAAATTGCATTGAAGATGGGACTCTGTACAGGGTCATCGATCCAAATTTGATTGGAAAGATAGCTCCAGAGTGTTTTAAGGTGTTTGTTGAAATTGCAGAAAGTTGCATAGCAGAAGTGGGAATCAACAGGCCAACAATGAAAGATGTCATGGAAAAGTTGGGGTTTGCTATAGAGCTGCAGGAGGCTGCTGATGTTGAGAAGTCGAGGATTGATCCCGAAAGTGAATGTAGCTATCCGGATATAGTGTTCCCGGTTGCTCGCGACATGGACTTTGACGGTGAATCGTTCGGCGATACGGAGTTTGATACGAGAGTATACAGCGGAGTCGGTATATTAGACTCTGACGCTATTGGACTGACCTATCCTACTATCGATTCTAGCACATCATTGTATCCCTTCTCCAGCACCACCACACAAGAAGCACCGGAAACTAGACGAAAGATTGGAGCATATTAACAATATAAATGTAAAATAGGTGTGTTTAATCAGTTTCACACGATGTTCGCTGCTTGTTTGATTTTGTAAGCCAGATCGTATCTGTTCATGCTAGTACAATTACAACCGTTGTAGACACTAAATTTTGTCCGGATTTTCATTTGATATTTTTTGTTAATATTAATATGTTTTATTATTACTTGATTACTTTAATTAGCATTATTAATCTATTTTTTAATTAGTTTTATTAGTTTAGGGGTTTATTATGTTTGTTAATTAATTATGGTTTAATATTAAATATATGCATGTATATAATACTTGGACATAAAATATGTACTAATATTATCTTTCATTTCTAGGGTACAACCTAACAACTGATTACAATAGACCCAAACAGAGGCCCATACAGCAAGCTCAAAGAACTGAGGTTCAATTTTACAAATGAGACTAGCCTAATTTTTAGGGTTTATTATTGAAACCCTAGAGAGCCAGCTTCAGTGCCGTCGTCACTGCGACCTAGGATGAGCCACTACCGTTGCCGCCGCCTGCGTCAATTCTGAAGCCACCACTGTTCCAACAACAAAAAAATCAAATAAAAAAATCCGTCAATCATAAGAAAAAAAAACAACTCCAAATCGACGAATTAAAATCTCATTTAATGCTCCGAACGATCCCCATCGGAGGCCATCATCGCCTGTCATATCTCCAACAATTCTGTCAGATAGGCTCCCTGTTTCAGCCATTCGCACATGCAAAGAAAAGAAGACAAAAAATATGTAATTTCTCTGATTTTTATTGTAACAGTGACGGTTAATATAAAACCCCAAACCAACCAATGTAAGAGGATCTCTCCCTCCATGGAGAAACAATAGAAAACAGAAAGCAAATTTCAGAAATCCAAAAAAATTTCAAGGTTTTTCCTTCACTTTTTTATTTCCAGAATGCTCAGTTCTTTTAGAGCAGAGGGAAGTTGCTGTCTGTAAAAGAAACCGAACCTTCACAGTTCACTAGTTTCATTCGTGTAAGGAAAGTGAAAGCATGCACCACTTTTGATAGTATATTGATATCATGAGTTTCGAAATCTTTGGAGTTTGTAAACATCAACATTCTCCTCTCTGCTAGAATACTAAACTTTGAAATGCTTGAAAGAGACGCACTTTGCATAGAGGTAACCTCCTCCACAGGTGAAGATGAGCATTCATCCACCAATTCTTCACGCCCTTTTACGCTTAATTCATGCAGTGATGGAAAACACGAACCGAACAAATGAACGAGGGTATGTTCAAGGAGGGCAAAACTTTCGAGATAATGTTCTGAAAGAAATTAATTCACGAGCTAATGCACTCCCAAGATTAATTGCTCAAATAGGGTGAAATCCACAGTGTCGCCATGCACTCCGGGCGACCTACCCTTGCTCAAACAGAGAGAATGAACGTGTTGCATGGCACATGCACGTCCCAACACATAGGTCGTCATGTCCTCCGGGCGACCTACCCTCGCTCGGCTTCCCTCGGATTCCCTCGCATAGCTCGTTCGGATGGCCTCGGTCGGATGGCTTCGGATGCTCTCGGATGGCCTCAGTTGGATGGCCTCGGATGCCCAGCGTGTTGGGATGTGCATGACACATGCAATCTCTTGTAGCTCGCCGGGAAGACATGGCGACCTAGTAGGTCGCCCGGAAGGCATGGCGACCTACGGCCAACACTGTGGATTTCACCTTATTTGAGCAATTAATCTTGGGAGTGCTTTATCTCGTGAATTAATTTTTTCCTGAACATTATCTCGAAAGTTTTGCCGTTCAAGGAGGGTTTCAAATCACGATCCGAAAATGTGATAGCGCACGCGAAATAGCGGTTTCGCCGTCGTTCGAGTTACCCGCACTAGCGCCCGTGACGGCCGCAATCATGATAAACCCGAAATTACCGAAAACGCGACCACGACTTGAAACCCCAGTTCAAGTATCTAGGTTTGTGAACGAACCGAACAAACACAAACGAGGGTATGGTCATGTTTGTTTGTTTAACTTTAATCGAACAAATAACGAACACAAACATAAACGAACAAAAAAGTTCTTGTTCGTGTTCGTTCGTTAAGTAATGTAGCTTGTTCATCTTCGTTCATTTAAATAATAAATGAACACAAATGAACAAACATAAACGACCACAAACGAACGAATGTAAACGAACACAATAAAATGAACATAAACGAACGTAAATGAACAAAACAAACGAACATAAACCACAACAACAATAATCACGTAAAAGAACATAAATAAACAAAACAAACGAACATAAATGAATTTATTTTACAAGAAAATCTCAAAAGTCTTGAAAAAGATTTATTTTGAGGCTCCGAGTCATCTCCGACGATTCAGTGAAGAGACTAGACATCAATGGACAAAGACCAAATAGCGTGGGACGTAAGTGATAAGATTAAAATTTGAAAATAATTTTTTTCTTATTTCCTAACAATTTTAGTATTATATTATATTTAATAGTTTTGGATTTTTTATTCGAATTTAAAATTAATTGAATTTAAAATATTAATGAGTATCAGATTAAATTTTTTTTTTGCGTTAATATTTTAAATGGGTCTAGAGAGATTAGCCTAAACATAAATGAACGAAAGTAAACGAATATAAACGAACATATATGAACAAACATAAACGAATATATTACCCAGCGTTCACGAATGTAAATGAATGAATGAATGAGCAATATGTTTGTGTTCGTTCATTTAATTAAACGATTACAAAATCTTGTTAATGTTCGTTCGTTTAATAAATAAACAAAGATAAACAAACTTCTCATCGAACGGTTCGCTGAACGTTTGGTTTGTTTACATGACTACAAGGGTATGTAAGATTGAAGACGGGTTGGCAACCTTCCTATTAATTGAGGACATTTTCTGATTGAAAGCTTACGGAGGCCGGGGAACTTGGAAACTTGCTCATCACCTTCACAGGCGTCCCACTCCTTCCAGTTTAGTACTCTCAAAAGACAGTCTCTAAAGATGAAAATACAATTGAATGATTTTCTCCGAATAACTCACTACCAATCTTGTGCACCTCATCCAGACTAACAATTGAAAGAATTTTTAGCAACGGCAACCTTCCAATGGGTGGTAGTGATTTGCAGTTTTTACAACCGAGTAGCTTCTAAGATGACAAGTTCCTCAAGGAAGAATCGACTATCCAAGTATAGAACTTTGCACCACCGTAATTTTTAATGAGATACTCAAGCTTTTTGGGAAGATAAAGAGAGTCCAACACTAGTTCTTTTAAGATTGGTTAGATTACCAACCCCTATAGGCATTGTTTCTATCGAGCTCGTACCTCTGATATCAAGATAATGCAAGTTAATAAAATTCTCCATATTTGAGGGTAATTTTTGAAGCAGGAAACAATCTTTTAATAATAAAGTTTCCAAATGGTAAAGGGTGCATAATGAATCAGGTAAACATTTGATCCGAGTATGGGAAAGATTTAAGTAGCGTTTATGTCTCAAATTTTCCACAAATTCAGGAAACTCGATGATTTTATATCCACACATTCAGGTAACATTGACACTAGATCTTGAAAATATTGGTTTCCAAAATCTTTAATTTGATGTTTAGCTTTTTGTTGCAAGAAATCTTCTGCACTCCATAACATGACTATCTCTTCTTCAAATTCGTAATCTTTTGGGTATATGGAGCATTATGCAAAGCAACGTTTCAAATGAGAAGGAAGATGATGGTAGCTTAAACTTAACCGCAGTGCAAGAATAATACCACTGATTTTCTGGTAAGTCCCAAATCTCGCTCTCGTATATTCTTTCCTTTTCATTAAGATTTTTTGTTGTGCGTAAGAAGCTTCCAATGGCTTTTGTTGGTAAAGGCAAGCCGTTGCATCTTTTTCACTATGTTCTCTCCAACTTGTTTAAATTGGAGATGTACATCGAAATTTCTTGCTCTAAAAGCATGCTGAGTAAATATGGACAGACAATCATCCTGTGACAGTTTATCCAAGTGAAAAACTTTCATTGAATCCACATTAGATGAAGCATTTTGAAATGAAGTAGTTATAATAATCTTGGTCATTACACCAAAGGGAGACCGTAAGATGATCCACTTATCATAACTCTCATTCCAAAAAATCATCTAAAACAAGTAATAACTTTTTCCCATATAACTTCTCCTTCAACGTGACTTGAAGTAAATTCATGCCATTCACATCAGGTGAGGAAGGATCGAAGGATTTCCACTCCTTGAGCTGCTCGAAAACTTGCTTCTGATCAGCAATGAAGTTGAGTGCAGCATCGATGGACTTGCGGAGCAACAGATCCAAAATCTTGGAAAGAGCAGTCTGTAATACCTGATTTTTGCCCGGTATAGTTTTTTTTTTTCCAAAGTCTAAACATTTTATTGAAGTTGATTTTGAAGCCCAAGACATCAATTAACTTGCAACAAATTTTTAAGCAAGATCCAAATATTTTCAGTACATGATGTCTTCTTGAGATGAAACCATCTTTCAGTTAGCTTTTCAACTCATTTTAAAATGCTTCAATCGAATATCGGGAACTAAAGAAATGCTCATTTTAGCAAAGAGAGTGCGTGCAAAATATTTGATACGTGTCAAATACGAAAATTTTAATTTATTTTGAATTTTCAATTATTTTATTCATTATTCGTGAATAAATTCATCTTTATACTTTCCATTATTTATTTAGGGAAATTTAAGATTTTTTTATTATTTTAAGATTTTTTCTTTTAAATAATATAACTAGCATTAATAAAAAGATGTTACTTTTTTTTTGCTTGGGTTTTTGAGAACCTATGAATAGACACTAACAAAAAAATTCAAACAGTAAAAGAAAATTTTTGATCAAGGTAATTTTTTTTGCATTCTTTGTTCAATTTCTTCTTGTCATTTTTTCCTTCATTTAAAAAAAAAATTGTTGGAGGAGAGAAAACCTAGGAATAAGAAAAAATACTCTTAAATTAATATTCATAGATTTCTCATTCCTTGAGGTTTCTCGGTAAAAATCAAATATCATTTTTTTTATTTTTATATTTTTTCGTTGTTTCGACCAATTATAATCTTTATTTTTTTTACTCTAAAAACCCCATGTTGAATGACAAAAGATCGAGGAACAAGG